CCGATTGGACTTTCGATTAAGCTTTAAATACAATTTTTTTGTAGCTAAATCGGACAGAGTCCAGCGATCCCAAGTCTAAATAATATATTTATCATATATCTCGTGGTGGCAATTAATGCGTTCGGTCCCCCTTTTTACCCACCCTTCTTTCCACCAGCACTTTTCTTTTAACGTCGACATATCAAATTCATGAAATATCATACGCCCGATCAAATGAATCGATTTAAATATAAATCATCATTATCGTTATCATTATCAATACAACACAACCCGTGGATTAAACGGATGCGATTAATGCGACGAATTTTTCATAAAAGTACTCGTACATACATTGTAGGGCTGTCGAATGGGCGCGGAAGCCGTGATGGCATTGGTGGAAGCCACACCGGAAACGGAAGCCTGCGTAGTTACATTGGATGGTAATCAGGCTGTACGATTGCCACTGATGGAATGTGTGCGACGAACGAAAGCCGTTGCGCAAGCCATGGCCGATAAAAATTGGGATCTTGCGGTGCAGCTTCGTGGAAAGTAAGTTATGCCATTCGTGAATACGTATATTAACAATGAAAGGTCATTTTGCGAAATTATTGCAGTTCGTAGAGTGAAATATTGTATTTGCGTAAATGTCCTGTGCAAAATAGCGAAAGAAATAAAGAAATAATGAAAGAAAGAAAGAAAGAATGAAAGAATGAATGAAAGAAAGAAAAAAAATTGAAGAAAGGAGCAAATGATTGAACACACGATTAATCCATAACAAACGAAAAATCCATAGAATGAAAAGCGAATGGACAATTAGTTGCAAATAAAGATCGAATCGAATGTTTTTATGGATTGTTGCTAATGATGATTATTATAATTTTTATAGGGGTTTCGTACGGAATTTGAATACCTATAAAATGTTGACGCGCTTGAAGGCTCCTGTCGAGGCTGGCACAATCAAGGTAAAATAATACATTAAATGTTAATGAAGAAGCTTAGCTACAGGTTTATATATAAGTATAGAAATTAATTTTATATTTATCATAGAGATGACCTTTTAAATTAATTTTTAATTAATCTTATATGAAATCTGTAGATGTATGCATATATAAACCGAAGTAGAGTAAGTCGAAGAATATTTTTTAATTATGACATGCACATATTTGCTTTGATAATGCTTCAGGAGGGAGATCATCCCGTATTAACTAAGGTAAATCTATCGTTTCTCGAATATTATTTTAAATCGAATTTTAGAATAATATTCCAATTTTAATAAACGTAAACACAAATAATTAGTAAATAATAAATTAGTATTCATTTACTGATTCTCTTTTGTTTTTTTTTTTTTTTTCTTGAAAATGCCTTACGATAGCAATACACGATGTGCGGTCAAGTAAGTAATCAGCATTTAAAATTCACTATAATTAAAACCTATAATGTCCGTTCATAATTAATTATAACTAGAGTTAAACTGCATTATGTAGGTACATTGATTAAGACAAAAAAAAAAAAAAAAAAAAGCCTTTGTGTTATTATTGAAAATAAATAATAGGCTACAAACAACTTGTGCCAAATTTTTTCTATACATGATATTATCGTCACCAAATTTTTGTTTTTTTTTTCTTTTTTTTTCTTTTTTCCGTCGTAATTAATAGCACAATTTTGCATTGTACAGAAAAAAGTGTTTATAATGTTAATTTTAAGAAAACTTTTTGGATGTACTTTTTATCGTATTTTTTTATCAAAAATTTTATAATTATGTTTTCATATAAACTCTGTTGGTTAATGTACGTTACTAAGATGCTTTAGGAGCGTCAAAATATTTATTTATTGGTTTATAGTATTAAGTATATTTAGTGAAAATGGCATTAGATACTTGGACGTTTAAACATTGAGTGTTATTTTTAAACCTTTTAATATTTAAATTCTATGCTGCTTACAGTAAAACGTTGTATACGGCGAAGTTAAATTTCGCGTATTATTAATTTTATGTAGTAAAGGATGGGAATATTGATTTGAAATCATACTTGATGCGTGTATGAATGAAGAAACATTAAATTTTCATCTATCAGTTACCACACTCTGCCCCTTTAACGCATTAAAGTTGATTATGATAAACATTGTAAAATTACGAGCAATTAATTGAATAATGGTTGGGTTCGGAAGGAGGAGGGGGACAAGGGAATAAACGTGATTGACATTTGTGTAGTCGTCGTGTCCAGTCTTTATAACGTTCGATTATAATGACGTCGATATATTTAAATCTTATATAAATTGTTATTTGTCGAAAAGCATTTTAATGCCATTGAAATGTATAAATATCTGTAATGTCATAGCATATTTATCTGATTTAATTGATGCTGCACGTGCCGTAGATATTTAGCTTTAAAGCATATGTAATTGAAATTTAAAAATTAGAATAATATATTTTTCCAGGATCATTATACGTTAGCGGTGATGCACGTTGGATCGCCCTCCTGTGGTATGAATGCGGCTGTTCGTTCTTTCGTGAGGAATTGCATTTACCGAGGAGATAAGGTACGTAGCACTTGCAAGCCGTTTTATTTTCTTTTTTTTCTTTTTTTTTTTTCTTTTTTTTTCCTTTTTTTTGAATTTGTTTTTGTTTTATCTCAACTTTAAGATGTGTCGTAACTCTTAATGCATCCATTTACACTTAACGCAACGCTGGCGACTGTAATCCCGAGCGACAGGCACTTCCATTAAACATGACGTTAACTGTTAATGTTGAAATTAGTTACCGATTTGCGGTCGTATTATGCCTTTTGTTCTTCAAACGAAGTAACGTTATTGAGCTTTTTGCTACATTAAAAGAATCGTATGTTCGCTTGGGGAAAAAGAAGTCGAGGAACTATTAGAAAAACGATAATGCCGATGATGTTGGAAGATAAATCCCGAATTTGCTCGAACGTAATTTATTCGATCGCGTGATTGCGACAGAGAATTATTATTAAGATTTATGAAATTCTACGTTATAATTATGGGGAACATGTTGGCGCGTAAAGCCGCGCTGTGAACAATGAGCGGAAGGATAATTTATAAATTCGTTTGCTTCATACGTTTTAGGTATACGGTATCATGGATGGAGTTCCCGGGCTGGCAAATGGAAAATTCAGGTTTATGGATTGGCCGTCGGTGACCGGATGGGTTGGCCAGGGTGGCGCTTACCTCGGTACGAAAAGAGCCCCACCAAAGGACGAACAACTACCTCAAATAGCGCAAAAGTTAAAACAATTCGGAATTCAGGCTCTGCTAATTATCGGAGGTTTCGAGGTAATTTATCCATTTCAAATCCATAGTAAGATTATGACGCAATAGTAGTGAGTCTAAATATTACAAAGTAATGGAGTTGGACTAAACATTATAAAATATAAATTCGCCGAGCTTCTTGGTATGGATAAAAAATTTTTTTTTTAATTATATTAAGCCGAAGTTACTCGAGAGTTAGTCAAAATAACATCTTAAGCTTACATTTTGAACGAATAGTTTTTAGAAAAATCACTTTATGATTATTTAAACATTTGTAAATAGTATAGAAATATCATTCTAATTGACAAATCCAATCCACATAATTTACAAAACGAATTGATTGTAATTTTCACCCATATATATGTATATTTCGTAATAATGTAAGGAATTTTTTATTTAAGGGATTCCAAACTGCCCTTAGTTTCTACAATGCGAGAGATCAGTTTCCCGAGTTTCGTATTCCGATTGCCATGATTCCTGCCACTATTAGTAACAATGTTCCTGGAACAGAGTTTTCTTTGGGTTGCGATACAGCGTTAAATGAAATAACAGAGGTAAGTTTTTTATTCTGTATAAAATTTATCAAAATTAAATGAAAAACAAATAATAAGAAAAAGAAAGATCTTTTGACGTGATGCATGAAAGAAATACATAACAAATTTAAGCATTCAAAATTTAAGCCATAATTTCATTCAAGCCTTTCATTCTATTTTTTTTAATTTTAATTAAATGATGCAAATGAGTTGAAAAATGTTTTTAAATTAAAAATTTGCAACAACAGCAATAGCAACAGCAACAAAGAACTTCTAATGAAACAGACGGCAATTGAGGTCGTATTGTTGAAATAAAGCTTACGTTGTAAAATTGTAAATGTTGTACACGTTGAGGTTGAATTTTAGAGAAGTAAAAGTGAAATGAACAAATTTTTTTTATTTATTAACAAATCCATCGTCTATATATATATATATATATATATATATATATATATATTTGAAGTGCATATAAACAATTTGAATCAAATATAATACATTTTAGTACAATAATTCCTTCAAAGCAATAATATGCAATTACGAAGAAATTTTAATTATAAAAAAAAGTCTGTATTAATACAATATCAAACTAATTTATTGAAATCATGAGCTTGAGTTTTGTAAAATAGTTAAATAAAGAAAGAAAAAAAAACATCTCATGTACCAACGACAGTGGTGCCAATTTTTCTTAATAAACTCAATGGCAATTGACAAATCATCATCATACATCGCTAGTTCGTTATAATATTTAATTACTTCTTGTCGATGCTTTTGATTATCCGCCGATTGTCGTTGCGTTTACGTCATTCGACATGAAATATTGAAAAGATAAAAGCATTGCTCATAATTCGCCAAACTCGACGACAGATTTGCGATCGCATTCGACAATCGGCTCAAGGAACCAAACGACGAGTGTTCATAATCGAGACTATGGGCGGCTTCTGCGGTTACCTCGCGACCCTCGCTGGCCTTGCAGGTGGTGCCGACGCCGCTTACATCTTCGAGGAGAAGTTCAACATTAAGGATCTCAATCAGGACATAATAGCCATGGCGGCGAAGATGTCGGAGGGTGTGCAGCGCGGCCTTATTCTGCGCAATGAAAGCGCCAACTCGAACTATAACACCGAGTTCATGCAACGGTTGTTCAGCGAGGAGGGCAAGGGCTTGTTCAGCTGTAGAATGAACATTATCGGGCATATGCAGCAGGGTGGATCACCCACCCCCTTCGATCGCAATTTGGGTGGGTATATATACTTTAAGCTCACTAGCTGAATGAAAAGTTTTTTATTTATCCGATGTAAGCTTGTGCTCGCTCGCCCGCCCGCTCGTCTCCTCTAATTTTTCAATTTGTAAAAAAGGTACGAAAATGGCAGCGAAGAGTGTGGAATGGTTTACCGAACAGCTAAAGAAAAATACGATGGCCGATGGGCAAACGATTTCGAATACGCCGGAAAGTGCCGTTATGCTGGGTATCGTAAGACGTCAATACAGATACACACCTTTTGCCAAGCTAATTGACAATACCGATTTCGAGTAAGTTTCCATTACATCACCGTCGAGCATCAATTGTACTTAAACATTAAATGCTTTAATGATTATGAAAGTTGATAATACCATATGAAAATATAGGTATTAACATAATCTTTGGAAATATTCTTATCCAACTGTTGAAAAAGTCTACACAAATCGATCACACCTGTCTTTAAACAAATAATAAATGTAACTCAATTAATATTTTAATATTAAATTATTATTAATTACAATTATTATTAATATCAACGTTGTTGTTAGTCTTATCCTAACTTCTTTGCATTCGACATTTAAATTATCAAAGGAGATTATTATAATGCACAAACAATACTTCTTTCGTGCTGGAGTAATAATAATTATTTACAATGCTCATTCGATGAAATAATATTTAAAACTATATTTGACTTTGCAGGCACAGAATCCCGAATTATCAGTGGTGGATGAAGTTGCGTCCATTGCTGAAAGTTTTGGCGAAACACGAGTCGACGTACGAGGAAGAGGGTCTGTACATTACGGTCGAAGACATGGACAATGACAATGGCGCTCCACTGGTTTAATTCCAATTCGATCCACCAAGTTTCCTACGCAGTATTCCGTTTTCACTCTCTCTCTCTCTCTCTCTCTCTTTCTCTCTCTCTCTCTCTCTCTCTCTCTCTCTCT